TCTAATATTTCAACACCCCTAAGCCTTTAGATCCCTTCTGTTAGAGTATACTAAATCAGGTCTGGCATTTCAACTTCATTTAGTGTAGGCCACCTTTTGAAACACATTTCAGCCAACCAACCAACCAACCAACCAACCAACCAAATAAACCAGTTTGAGATCTTTCTAACCCCTTGAGTTACAACATTGAACCCCAAATCTGTGTTTGGTCAGTTCATATCAATAAATTCAGCCTGATCCTATTTTAGTTACCTTCCACCATTATCCAATACCATTAATATATATTTCCACACACATTCTGCAGAATTATGTCTGTATAAATTGAAAAAATAATGCAGTTCTTTTGAAGTATAGTTCACCTCTTTAGGGGTCAAACTTTTTACTTCACCTTTTGGGGCTTCCTGGGACTTGGGTTTTCCTATAGCTCTAGAAGCAAAGAGGGGTGTCTGTGGTGAGTCCTGAGAAAAATCAGCAGTGTCTTGTAAGACAACTACCTTAGAGGAGGCCATCACAGTCTCTCAAGGTAAAGCAGAGTGAAATAGATAGGGGTAGAAGGGCTGCTTCCCCAGCTTCATCAGGATCTGATCATATGTCCCCATTATAATTTTTAGAATCTTCTTTTTTTCTAATCCATGCCATTATTTTAATAGCAGAGCTTCCCTCTGAATCTGGGAATTCAACCTCTTGTAGGATGGGACTCTGGATTTGGTTTTGAGAAGTCTCAGCTCTGTGGTAGCAGGAAACAAGTAATTCTTTCAAGGCAAACAGAAAATTTCCAGTCAGTTATATGGTCTTTGAGCTAGGAATTTGAAGTCTCAAGTTCGTCTTTTTCATTCCTTACTTAAGAGCAACCAGCTAATTCATTATACTCATTAGATAACAAATACGTTCTAGGGTACTAAATATATGCCCCCTCAAAATGTGGACATGTACTTAGTCCAAATATTTTGTAAATGTTTGATTAGGAATATCCATTATTGATATTTTGGGTATTCCTAGTGCCATCAACATTGGTGCCAACTTTATCACAGGAAATAAAATCATTAGTGCCTTCAAATGGAATCAGATTAGAGAACCAATTGCAGAGACCACAGAACCAATTCAGAAAATTCATCCTTAAGATTTTCTTCCTTTAGAGAGAATCTGAAAAGCAGCAAGAGAAAAGGAGACAGTTGCCTACAAAGGAGTTTTCATAAAACTGTCAGCTGATTTCTCAAAAGAAACCTTGCAGGCAGGAAGGGGTTGGAAAGAAATATTCCAAGTCATAAAAGGCAAGGGTTTACATCCCAGATTACTGTATCCAGCAAAGTTATCATTTAGAATAGAAGGGCAGATAAAGTGCTTCCCAGATAAGGTCAAGTTAGAGGAGTTCATCATCACCAAACCCTTATTACATGAAATGTTAAAGGGACTTATCTAAGAAAAAGATCAAAACTAGGAACAGTAAAATGACAACAAACTCACAACTATCAACAACTGAACCTGAAACAAAAACAAAAACAAAAACAAAAATGAACTAAGCAAACAATAGAACAGGAACTGAGTCACAGAAATAGAGATACCATGGAGGGTTATTAGCAGGGAAGGGGAGGGGAGGAATGGGGAAAAAGGTAAAGTGAGTAAGTAGCATAAGTGGTAGGTAGAAAACTGACAGGGGGAGGTTAAGAATAGTATAAGAAATGAAGAAGCCAAAGAACCTATATGTACTACCCACGGACATGAACTAAAGGTGGGGGGTGGGGGCAGAATATGGGCTTGAGAGCATGTGCAGGTTGGAGGGGAATAAAGGGGAGGAAATGGGACAACTGTTATAGCATAATCAATAAAATATATTAAAAAATAAATAAAATAAAATGTAGTCTGAGTAAACTAAAACAAAAAAAAAAAAAAAAAGGAAGGGAATGAGAAATCCCAGCTCCACACAAGGCCCTCATTGCCAACCCAGGGTTCCAGTGCCAGGAATATAAGTCTCCATAACTTCTGGCTGCAAAAACCAGTAGCGGCTGAGTTGGTGGAGGAAACTACTGGAGCCCCAAACAATTCCTCTTAAAGAACCCACACATGGACTCACCTACTCAATCACTCTCTCTGAGCTCCTGCACCAGGATAGCTGCTTGGAAGGCACCAGTGGCATACAAGGAGAAACTGAAGTACCAGACATCAAGGCGAGAGTTGGGGGACAGCTTTCCCTGAAACAGAAAGGCAAGCAAAGCCATTGTTTCTTTTCTGAGCCCTCACCACACAGAGCCACAGAGTTGGCAGGCTGATGCCATATCTGAGACTTTGTCAACCTGGCTAACACTGTTTGCCCCTCTCTGGAGATCCCCTGAGGCTCTCTCTGTCTCATTCAATTTATAGATGTTAACAGTGGCTTTTCCATAAATGGCTGGTCTTGGCTCATGCTTCACAACTTCCTGAATCCTTTAAAACAGCAACAGCTCGTCTCAGTGAGCCCGCACTGATACCACTAGCTAAATGGCCTCAAGCTTGGCATTAGCAACAGCCAGCTGAGACTCACAGCTTGGTTTTACCTGGAAATGTCTAAGCCCAGCACAAGTAGCAGCCATCTCATATGGCTTTATAGCTCAGGCAAGGTGGCCCTGGGCAAAATACAGGTTAGGGATGACAAAAAACAAAACAAAACAAAATGATTTTATTCCTTTAGAACCACTCTTGATATCAATTTTTTTTTTTTTTTTTTTACCATTCAGGGTTCTCCAGAGATACAGAACTAATAGGAAATTTTATATATGTGAGAATTTCAAGAAATTGGCTTATGTGATTGTGGAGGCTCACAAATCTGGAATTTATAGAGAGGACTGGCAGGCTGGCAACTCAGGCAGGATTTATGTATTACATTCTTAGGGCAGAATTCCTTCTTTTCCCAGGTAAACTTCATTCTTTGCTCTTTAGGCTTTTAATTGAACAGATGAGGCACATTTACATTATTGAGTATAATTTCTTTTACATAAAGTCATGACTGTAAATATTGATAATCACCCTTACAAAATAATGTTGTGTTAATATCTAGACCAGTGTTAGAGCAAATGGGCACTATAGCCTACCCAATTTGATATAAAAGATTAACCATCACAAGCTAATATATCCTGTTAGAAATGAGGCCAGCAATTATCTTTGGGGCAGAGGAAGTAATGACCACAAGGGGGCACTAGGAGAGTTTTGGGGTGCTGGTCAGGCTCTGCTTGTTGATCCAGTGATGGTTGCACAGATATATTCAGTTTGTGAAAATTCTGTGAGCTCGATACTTATGACATGTGTAGAATCTAAAATGTATATTTTAATTAAAAAGAGTAAAATGTTAAAAAAAAAGGAAGACAAAAACAATGGAAACAAGAAAAAAGCATTACATCAGTTATGAAGAAATTTTTTTGTTAGAAATTACCATATATAATTCTATATTGATAAACATCTTGGTGAAATAGATTTTTAATGAAAAATATAAACATAAGCACATATAGTAAAACCTAAATCAATAAAGAAATAAAGCATGCCTATAGTGATCTTTACATGGTACACTAGCAGGAGAATGACTAAATAGACCACATTTTGATGATATTTTGCAATGCATATGTTAAAAAGAATGAAAGAATGAACTTGGAGAATGTGAAAAATCTCCAAGACATACTGGATATTATTTATTTATTTTTAAAAGAGAAATCAACTTTATAAAGTTATACAGTCATTCCGACATGAATATTTAAAAAAAAAATTGGCATAGTATTTGTAAATTTATTTTATTTCTGCAAATTTATTCTTAAAAATACAAACTTTAATGATAGTACATATACACAAATGTTTTGTATACTGTAAATCCAAAAAAACTTGTGGAGGGGTACCCAGTAACAGTTGTATTCTTTGGGCAGGGAGATTAGATTGTGTGGTAAAAAGAACTTTAACTTTTTAATCTCTCTATATATGCGTATTTTAAAAACATTTCTTACAGTAAAGAATCTTAATCATGTAAGTTTAAGAAATGGTCAAAAAATAAGGACACAAATCACAGACTGGAAGAAAGTAGTTCGTAAAGACATCTGATGAAAGACTATTACCCAAAATATGCAAAGGAACTTTAAAACTCAACAATAAAAACAAATAACTGGATTAAAAAATGGGCAAAAGAGGTGCAGACACCAAATAAGCATATGAAAGATGCTCCACATATGGTATCAGGGAAATTCAAATTAAAAATGAAATACCACTATATTATATATTAGAATTGTCCAGATCCATAACACTGACAACACCAAATGCTAGTGAGAATGTGGCGCAATAGGAACTCTCCTTCATGGGTCATTCATGGGTGGTGGAACTGCAATGCTACAGCCATTTTTTTTTTTTTAAAGATTTTGTTTAGTTTTAGACAGGGCAAAGGGGAGAGAGGGACAGAAGCATCAATGTGTGGTTGCCCACTGGGGACCTGGCCCAAAACCCAGGCATGTGCCCTGACTGGGAATCAAACCAGTGACCCTTTGGTGCACAGGCCAGCACTCAATCCTCTGAGCCACACCAGCCAGAGTGGTAGAGCCACTTTTAAAGCTTCCTGGTTTCTTAGAAAACATACGCTTTTATCGGATGACTCAGCAATTGTGGTCCTTAGTACATACCCAAAGGAGTTAAAAATTGATGTCTATACAAAAACTTGCACAGATATTTATAATAGCTTTATTCATAATTGCCATAACTTGGAAGCAACTAAGATGTCGATTCCTGACCAAGTCCATCTTCTCCACTACTGCGCATTCAGCCCGTCTTAGAGGAAACAAATTGGGCCGCTGATCAATATTTACTCAACGCGTAGGAGTGGGGATGGTATTTTTAAACTTTTAAATTTTTCTTTATTTCCATATTTCAACAACGAGCCCGTTTCGCGTTCATTAAAGCTCCACAAAGCCCCAACCTAGTTCTACGGCAGCCATCAGGAGGCGCAGTAGCACTAGCCCCGGCCTTCCGGGGCGTGACGGGACAAGGGGCGGGGCTCCGGGGGCGCGTAGCCAGCACGCACGTTGCACGGCGAGTCGAAGCGAAGCGGTCTCCGTGGCCACTAGTAGGTACTCTGTCGGGGCCGGTCTCACTGAAGCGAGTGGTGGAGACGTAGAATATTTGGGCCTGGCGGAAGCCATGTTTGTGGCACGCAGCATCGCGGCGGACCACAAGGACCTCATCCATGATGTTTCTTTCGACTTCCATGGGCGGCGGATGGCGACCTGCTCCAGCGACCAGAGTGTCAAGGTGCGCGCGTAGCCTACGGCCCGGGCCGAGCCCGGAAGGAGGGGAGCAAGAGCGTGCTCGATCCGCAGTTTGAGCGGAGGGGCCGGCTTGTGATGAGGAGACTAGTTCTTTTATTTCGGCGCGCCATCGGTCACAAGGTCTAGAGCCCAAGGGAGGCAGACACGCTCTGGCCCATTGGTCTGCCCCGCTATTCTCGCCCTTTACTGAGGGGGACTCAGCCTTTCCACTAGGCCTTGCTGCGTGCGCGAAACCGCCGCGCATCCTGGCCACGTGCGCGCTTCCGTCGTTGAACATTATGAGCCTGCGGCTTTTCGCCAACCAATGCGGTCCTTGTGGGCAGGAACCAGGCAGTTCCCTCAGCTTAGTTCTCAGTAAAGCTTTATCGGTCCGCGGAGTTACGGTTTTACCTCTATTAAGTTACTTCGCTTGTTCATTGAGAGGACTGTGCCTAAGGCCCGTAGGGCAGTCAGTTCGAGGTGTGTTCTCTACTGCTGTGTGCCTGGGGAGATTGATCTTTCCTTTATGTTCAGATGGGAGGCATCTTGATTCACGGTGAAAGAAAATGCAAATTCATTTACATCCAATTAAGTTACTTACTATCCGGAAATTGAAGTGTGTCTTTTTAGGAAACCTCTGTACCTTTCCGACCAGCAGAATAACTGATAATGATATTTGGGATTTAGGAACTTCAGAGATGAAAGTTGGTGTGTGCCTTACTTGCCTTCTCGGCAATTTCAGAATAACCGAATCTGAAGGACGGTATTTCTCGTTTTACATAGGCTAGTTTGATGCCTGTAATTCCTTCAAATAAGAGTTTTCCTTCTTGAAAAACGGTAGTGCCGCCAAGTTTATCGAATAATAAAGTATAACCTTTAAAAGGTTTGGAATTACTTAAAAAATCATGTTTGTGGTAAACTAACCATTTGAAAGTGTACATTTCAGTTCAGGGGTGTTAAACACAACATTCACGTTGTGCAACCATCACCACTGTACATTTCCAGAATTTTTCTTCATCCTAAACAGAAACTACCTAGTAACTCCCTCTCTATCTGCACCTGGCCTCTGGGGACCTCTAATTCTTTTTCTTTGTAAATTTAACTATTCTGGGTACTTCGTATAAATGAAATCACACAATATTTGTTCTTTTGTGTCTGGTTTACTTCACTTACTGTGATGTTTTCAAGGTTCACTCATATTTGTAACATGTATCAATTTCATTTTTAAGAATCAATATTTTATATGAATACACCACATTTTGTTTATCCACTTGTCCATCTACTTTTTGGCTATTGGGAATATTTCATTAACATCTGTTAACTGAATAGGCAGTACACTTTTTTTTGTATCCACTTATTACTGAGTCTTTTAACAAACTATAGAAATGATCCCTAAAAGTATAGTCTTTGAATCTTTTAGATCTTTCAGTTTGGAGGTTTTATCTGTTAAGAGTAGTGTTTCAATGAAGATCTTACAGCGTTTTATATATTTTGGGTAATTTCCTTAGGCTCATTGTAGTAGAGAAATTAGTGAATATTTAAAAAGCTTTCGAGAATAACTGGCAAATTGCTTTTTATTTGATCATGTTAAGTGTTTATTGTTCTTTAAAAGGGTTCAAGGTTTGGTTTTAAATCAGGCTGCACAATTTTCATCAGTCTGAAATCTCTCTCACTATGTCAGACTGGCTTCATCTAGCAATACTTCTTTAATTCCAAAAGATACAAGAAACAATTTTGAGTAAGAAAATCAAGCTCTGAGAACAGTTAACATTAGTCTGTAATTTAAAACAAAATGAGGGCTAATGTTTCATATTGCATTTTACACCCTCCTCATACAGAACCAGGAAGGTAATTTTCCTAAGTCAGGCAGTCACCGATACTGGTGGACAGTTGTGTATGTGTGCAAGCACGCATATATTTCTCTCTCTCTCTCTCTCTCTCTCTCCCCCTCCCTCCCTCCCTCCCTCCCTCCTCCTCTGGACCCCTTCCTCCCCCAAAACAACAAAAATCAGAGCATGTCAAAGGAAAAAGGTGTTTTTTTGTGATATTGATCAAAACCCTTGGAGTCAATAGACAGGCTCTCTGAGCTTTGAGAATATTGTTTTGCTCTTGCACTATATTAAGGGAATCTGTTGTATTCTGAAATAAACAATTTTGGATAGTACTATCATTTCCCACTTTAAAATCCTGGAAGCAACAAAACATTATTTTGGGGGATAAGGGATAAGAAAATCTACAGATTTTTATTTAGTTAAGGAGCAAAACAACTCTGGCATAGGAGATAGGCAGTTCACATAGTCAGCCAAAGTCTGAGGAATCATTAATGACAAAGACTCTGTTTATTCCTATTGACCCATCTGATCCTAACAAAAAAGGAAGTTTATGGCTCTTCATAGCAAATTCTAGCAGGACTAGATGACCCTAATCCTTTATTCACATCCTTAGAAGTAGAGCACTAGAAAGTGTGTAATACTTTTTAAAAATTCTTGTTTATTCTATTACAGTTGTCCCAATTTTTTCACCTTTGCCTTCTGTCCATCCCTAGCTCCCACAGTTTATCCCAACACTGTTGTCCATGTCCATGGGTCATTCATACATGTTTGACTAATCCTTACTTCCTTTTTATCTATCATTATCCCCCTCCCCCCATCCTCTGGCAGCTGTCAGTCTGTCCCGTTTCCATGTCTCTGGTTCTCTTTTGCTTGTTAGTTTATTTTGTTCATTAGATTCTTCTTATAAGTGAGATCATATGGTATCTGTCTTTTACTGACTGGCTTATTTCACTTGGTATAATACTCTCCAGTTCCATTCATGATGTCTCAAAGGGTAGGAATTCCTTCTTTCTTTGTGCTGCATAGTACGGTATTTCATTCTATACATGTACCACAGTTTTTAAATCCATTCATCTACTGATGGGCGCTAAGACTTCCCAACACTTGACTGTTATATGTAGCACTGTTATGAACATAGGCATGCAAAAGTTCTTTTGAATTGGCCTTTCAGCATTCTTAGGGTATAATCTCAGCAGTGGAGTCACTGAGTAAAAAGGCAGTTGCATTTTTAATTTTAAAAAAATTTTTTTATTGATTATGCTGTTACAGTTGTTCTATTCCCCCTTTCATTCCCCTCCACCCTACCCCCCATCACCACCATTACCCCCCCTTTAGTTTATGACCATGTGTCTCAAGTCCTTTAGATTCAATGTTTCCCATGCTATTCTTGCCCCCCCCATCTATTTTCTATCTACTGTCTATGCTACTTATTTTCTGTACCTTCTCCCCCCTTCTCCTCCTCCCACTCCCCTGTTGCTAACCCTCCTTGAGATCTTCATTTCTATGTTTCCACTCCTGATCTAGCTGTCCTTTTAGTTTGCTTTTGTTTTAGGTGTGGTTGTTAATAACTGTGAGTTTGTTGTCCTTTCACTGTTCATGTTTCTTTAACTTCTTTTTCCTAGATAACTCCCTTTAACATTTCATATAATAAGGGCTTGGTGATGATGAACTCCTTGAATTTGATCTTATCTGAGAAGCACCTTATCTGTCCTTCCATTCTAAATGAAAGTTTTGCTGGATAGAGCAATCTTGGTTGTAGGTCTTCGGATTTCATGACTTGGAATACCTCTTTCCAGCCCCTTCTTGCCTGTAAGGTCTCTTTTGAGAAATCTGCTGACAGTCTGATGGGGACTCCTTTGTAGGTGACTGTCCCCTTATCTCTTGCTGCTTCTAGGATTCTCTCCTCATTTTAATCTTGGCTAATGTAATGATGATGTGCCTTGGTGTGTTCCTTCTTGGGTCCAACTTCTTTGGGACTCTCTGAGCTTCCTGGATTTCCTGGAAGTCTATTTCCTTTGCCAGATTGGGGAAATTCTCCTTTATTATTTGTTCAAATAAGTTTTCCACTGGTGGCTGTGCCTTTCCCCCTTCTGGTACCCCTATAATTCGGATGTTGGAGCGTTTAAAGATGTCCTGGAGGTTCCTAAGACTCTCCTCATTTCTTTGAATTCTTGCTTCTTGACTTTTTTCTGTTTGGCCATTATTTGCTTTCTTCTGGTCCACTCCATTGATTTGAGTCCCAGTTTCCTTTTCATCGCTATTGGTGTCCTGTGCAATTCCATTCATTTCAGTTAGTTTCGCCTTCATATATTTGTCTAATTTGTGGGTATAATCAACCAGTTCTGTGAGGATCCTGATGACCAGTGTTTTAAACTGTGCGTCTGAGAGTTTTGCTATTTCTTCATCACTTAGATCTATGGGCTCTGCGGCTTTGAGATCTTCTTGTGACATTTTTGGTCTGTTCTGGCCCTTTAAGTGTGAGAAGGGCCCTAGGACTCCCAGGTCGCTGGGTCGTGACGCTGTAGGTGGGGGCATGGTCAGAGCGGGGGAAATGGCGGCACCCTCTGCTGTTTCTCACAGCTGGGTGGGGATTAGCGTCTTAGGTGGTTCCCCTGGGCTGGGCCAGTCAGAGTCGCTGGGTTATGACGCTGTATGTGGAGGGTGGGGTCAGAGCAGGGAAATGGCGGCGCCCTCCACTGCCGCTTGCTGTGGGGACCCGCTGGGTTCTGGTCCAACCGCCCACTCCCTCGCCTGTCCGCCCGCGCACAAATGCACGACCACAGTCAACACGCAGCACCGCTCCTCCGCTGTCTCCCCCGCAGTCGCTCACCTGGTCGCTCGCTCGGTCGCTCACTAGGTCCAATCCTGCGCCTGGATTCCGCGTCTGAGTCCGTCTGACCGAGTTTTCCTGTGCAACCCACTTCACCAGCCGCTGGTTTCGCCCCTTACCAGTCAGGCTGAAGAATTTGTTGTTAACGGACTTCCGAAAAGTTCAATTTTCCGTGTTCTGGCTGTGTTTTTTGTTGCTAATATTTAGTTGTCTCTAAACTTAGTTGTGTGAGAAGGCATGGCACATCCACCTATGCCTCCATCTTGGCGGAAGTCCCTCCCATTTTTAATTTTTTGAGGGAATTCCGTATGTTTTCCACAGTGGCTGCACCAGTCTGCGTTC